ACTTCTAGAGCGACATATATAATATTACCATAGATTTACACCTTATAATGCAGACGTGCCCAACCCTTGAATCTCGCCACTAGAGAGCGAAAGGCTTAGATTAGTTGATAGTTCCTTCTGGCTTCTGATCTTGGTGAATGAGCTGATTATGTGGATTTTTCGTGGGTTTTTCCCACGTGAAACGCGAGTCTAAGCCATGGTGTTTCTTTAAAACCCTCCTCGAATGCATTCCTTCTACGGCAGACAGTTTTCAAAACTCATTGATGCGATTTCCGTTGTATTAAAAAAAATGGAAAAGGCTGAGCGCAAACGACGTGGATTTTAAAACTGAAACTGACTGGATTCTTTTTAATGGATATAACTGTTTACTTCAAGGAAAAGATCATGCGTTTTTGAGACCAAAACTAATGAATGAGTGTTTCTTTAATGAATGAGAACTTTCGAAGTTAAATCGAATTTGCGGCGACCTCGTATTAAGAATATCAATTTACTTCTCTTTGGCAGTATCTGAACTAAGTCCCGTAATAAATAAATGACGTTGAATACTATTTTATCAAAAGACTGGAAATAAATTACAAGAAACACCAATTTAACACTAGCTTGCCCAAGGAAGTCATTTTGACTGCTTTTTAATTTCAATTAGAAAACCAGTTATGACTATGATGACACAATTTCTTAAAATTTTGTGACTTTTTCACAACATATAAATACGTTTATTAATAATTGTAGTTACTTCCCCCTATAGCAAGAGGGTAAAATTTTAAATGAGAAATATCATCTGATACCTTCAAATTTATTCTCCTTTCAAGTTAAATGTAAATAAGTTGTAAATAGATTGTTATGTTTTTTCCCTTTCCGAAGAGAAATATTTTTATTCCGCAATTCGGAAACATTTGTGGAACCATGATATTAAAATTTCTAAGAGTAAAATGGGCAGTATTAATAATCAATAAAGGACGTCAATTAATACTTTTACATGGAAAGGAGAATTCCCGAAAACATAAGCACTGTTTTTAATGTGGTAATAACAGAAAGTATGTATTTATCATACTAACAGCAAATTTGCTGATGAATAAATCGACTACAAAATGTTTAAATGTACCTATAGCAATAGTAAATAAAAATTTGTAGATTAAATAAGCTAAAAAAAATTTTAAATGAATGTTATCAGCTTTTGCTGACGCATGTGGCTAAACACAGAAAATGCTGTAGAACCCTGTATGAATACTTTTTTTTACCAGAGAAGATAAGTGGAAATACTTTATGACCCTATAGCTAAACTCTGCTTATCGAAAATAAGGAGAAAACAGGTAACTGGTTTCGACAGTGCAAAGAAAGCTACGTTAAGATGATTATGATTATTTTATATAATGCATGTTTTATTATTATTTTTACACTGGGGGATTAAAAGTAAGAAAAGTGGAAGAAACTATTAACATCGACTCATCATACTACCAGGTAAAATATTTGCGTCCATTATTTACTGAAGAAACTCGCTTTCATTTTCCCAGTGACTTGATACTCCACTAGGGATTTTGCATGCATATCTTTTCGTCAACCTGTCATGTCCTCAAACATTTCACTTATGACTATTGTGCTTTCAGCCTGCGGAAAAGAGTTCTTCTAAATGCAAAACTATTACAATTGATGGAGCTTGGAAAGTAATTAAAAAGAGAAGAAAAACATTACCGCTAAAAATTTTACGAAAAGCCCCTTTATCATGAAAAGCCCGAAGCAGACATTATGACCCAGAAATTAAGCTATCGAATGTTTACGTAATAAATTTTTACATTTTGAAAATTAATTAAACGGCCCTGAATAGATTCAGTGGTCACGTGAAAGATGTTATATTCGTACTTTTTCCAATAAATATTTTTTAATTATTAAATGTGATTTGATTAGAAGCAATGGTAATTTTCAAGTTATATTGTAGTTTTTAATAATTATTGAATTTTGTTTGTGATTCTTTCCATGTTTTTGTTTTGAGGTGCTGCTTTTCGCACATCTTTAATGAGCTATGGTGCCAATAAGCACCGAAAGATTTGTAGCACTCCTCCCTTTTATCTAACCGAAGCTAACACAAATTCTAAGCTAGTTGGCCCGTAATTTTAAATTAGTTAACAAAGCTATCAAATGCGCTATACGGTCGAAGGTAGTGACATTTAGAGAGACGTAGCCAAAAAGCAAACGGGCGCTATTCAGGAAATCTAATTCTCTCTCTCGAAGTCAGTGGAACTTCGACTTATGAGCTAGTATTCCCTCCTATTTGCATTTAATGCGATTCTAAAAATTCATTCTGGTAAGGCGTTGTAAGCCGAAGCTAGAAAAAATAGGAAAGATGAATAAACTTAAAATAGCTGTTATAAACTTAGGATATATATTACAGTTTGAATAACCCTGTTATTATAATATATTAACCTCAAGAAACCAGAAAACAGCTACCCTTCTGTAATTGCTATTACTGTAAGGCATTAGCACTAAGGAAGTAACCTACTGTAATTAATTTTAGCACATCTAGTTCACTGTTAAGCTTAGCATGCCGGTAGCCAATCCGTGTATTCTACTCCTGTATCCGGTGCAGCTTGAAATTAATAACTGAAAGTAAAGCATGCCAACTCTAATTCAAAAATTATACAAAACTCAATCTTAGATTGAAATTAATTTTATAAAACTAAGTCCAATCTAAGATTTTGAGATTTTCTAAAATTTTGATGATGTCTCTCTCCTTCTAAAAAATGTATGGTCTGGAAAAATCATATTCATCAGAATACCTCTTTCCGAATGTCTGGGTCGGGAATTGTCTATTGTGTGTCGGGGAATATTTGAACAGAACAAAATTCATCAGTATCGTTAGGTGTACAAGTTGGTAAAAACAAGAGTCTAAGTTAGTTCTAGAGTGAAGTTAATTTTAGGACAATTAAGTGTAGTACAAGAAATAATTTTACGCCATTAAATGGCAAGCTTTATAAAAGCAACTACAGTGTCTGCTTAAAAATGTTGATCTGCATCTGTAAGAACTGAAGCTGAGTTAAAATTACAGCTGTCTTTATATTGCATCGTACATACCTTCTGGGAAAGCATAACTGAATCGAGAAACTCAAGCTGGAATCTAAGCGACTTACCGCTATGTCTAGCAAGATGACATAGAACATAAGAAGAATGTAAAAGACCCTTTTATTAAGAACTCCAATAATAATTTATTTATTTATTAGTTCACGCTCATTTCGTTCATGCTGCCTGGTTTTGTAAGCACAAGAAGGCACTTTTTGTGCATACAAAACCAGCCAGCATTTATGGCTTAACACAAAATGATAGAAATTGAAATTAAAACTAAGTTAAATCTTAAATTACCCAAAAGCTAAACAGCAGTGAATAAAGCTCAAGTTGGCTGAAACTTATATCGGCGAGATAAGCACTAATGGCAAGAATAACGCAATGCCACAGACAGACTGCTAATGAAAATTTTCAACTAGCAACGTAACCTTCAACAGGCAAAATACGCTCTGATTAAACAACCTAAATCCTTCCTTTAAATACTCAAGAATACTACCTCATTTGAATATTCGCGAATTAAAAATTACCATTCTGGAAAAAAAAAAAAAAAAAAAAAAAAAAAAAAAAAAAAAAAAAAACGAAAAAGAGTTATGACAGTGAAGCTACTTAATATAAAATAACTAGTTAGATGAAAATAAATAAATCCTTACAGCATGACAACGTTCTATTGTCTCGCCATACTTCAGAAACTAATTACTGAAGAATATAGTGTATTGTTTTTCCTCTTTCTTCGTGATTGTTTAGCATTTTGGTCGGAACTTAGAATTTTCAAAAATTTATTTTAAATGATAACACACAGTTTTATGTAGCTATATTGGATTTATTTTTAATATGTTAATTGCGTATTTCTTTCTTCTAATTTCAATTTAGTACTTTATTATGTAAACCAGACAGTAATTGCTTCACATTGAAATAACTCACATACTTGTATTTTTCTGTACATTTGATTTTCTATGATTAATAAGAACTTCATTTCATTTTATGGCGTCGTAATATCAACTGCGGGACTTACAGTATCCGTGTATTTAATATTTATGTTGTTTAAAGATCCAGTGTTCTTCTCAAAAGATCCGTATGTAAAGGAATTTTTCCATCCAAAGGAAATTCTTTACATCTATCAACATGTATAATAAAAGAAAGAGTTTGTGTGTCTTTCGTTCGTGCTGCGTATTTCCCTTAATAAGCTTATAGACTCAGTGCTACGGACTGCAGACTGTTGAAAATCAGCTCTGTTGCCACTTGGAAAAATCAGGGCGATAATTCTGTGTAGTTTTTAAATTTAATATTTCTTACAATATCCGTGTATTTAATATTTATGTTGTTTAAAGATCCAATGTTCTCAAAAGATCCGTATGTAAAGGAATTTTTCCATCCAAAGGAAATTCTTTACATCTATCTACATGTATAATAAAAGAAAGAGTTTGTGTGTCTTTTGTTCGTGCTGCGTATTTCCCTTAATAAGCTTATAGACCCAGTGCTACGGACTGCTGACTGTTGAAAATCAACTCTGTTGCCACTTGGAAAAATCAGGGCGATAATTCTGTGTAGTTTTTTAATTTAATATTTCTCTTGGATACTGGACGTTTGTTGAGAGAAGGCAACGGAAAGTTGCTTAATTTATTTATTAGGATAGTTAATATTTGTGTTAAGGGATATTGCTTATTTCATTGTAATTTTGTTATATGTAATACTTTTATTTTTGTGAAGATGTTCTGCAGAGTAAAATTCTGCTCAGTTTTTAACTTTAACGTTTGGTGTTCACTTCAGGTATTTTTTCGGTACATTTAAAAGCCAGACGATGGCTGGCTGTGTAGCTGCTAGTATGTAATATAGTAGTAAGCAGCAAAAGGGCGATACTTATATTGTGTGTCGATTATTATGTCTCGAAAGCAATGGATACAAAAAATATATTGCTCTCTATTATCTTTATGTTTTTCTTTTTACAGCTTCTCTTGGAACATCTCGAGTGCCTGGTGTCTCGTCACGAACGGTCACTAAGGATGACTGTGGTGAAAAGGCAAGCTCAGTCACCCGCCGGTGTCTCATCTGAAGTCGAGGTCCTAAAAGCTCTGAAGTCCTTGTTTGAGCATCACAAAGCTCTCGATGAGAAGGTTAGTATGGAAACCATCTGCCGCATACTTAGCATACGCGCTATTAGGATTCGCAGTTTTGCAGATACAGGAAGGTATTGGATTACTATATTTTTGTCAGATGGATAATAGATTTTTGTTGACTCATTGCTTTCTCGAACTCTAGGCAAACCATCTGCCACAGCTAAAGCGATTATCTCTGTAAATTTGATTCATTTTTGTAATAGAGGAAATTATAAGAGGCACTCTGTAAAATAAATTCATTGATTCTTGATAAGTTATTTGTAATTCTGTCTTTCAAATTAATGTTCCTTATAATCGGGGTAAAATTATAATCTCATTTAGCTGATTTTTACGATTTTCTGGAGTTGCATATGTGTTATGTAGTTATCTAATCTTATTCGCCTTGCCGTCAAAATAATGTTTTATAATTATCATGGAACTCATAATTATCCTTGCTAATTAATTGAGTAAAAAACTAGAAAACAACGGGTATTCCAAAAGTAGTCGTATAAAACTGTAGTTAATACACACGTTTTTCACTGGTATTCTTTTCTCCTCGATGTCTTTACCCGAAAAAGAAAGAACAGGTACCATCAGAAAAGAGGGAGTGCTACTTTGGTAGACGGTTGCACGGATTTTTGGCGATTTACGTTGGCCGAATTGTTGGCGCGATTTTACAAACGTCAGCCATCTTGAAAAACGCTGTTTTTACGCATAGTAAAGTATTCGAAACTTAAAAAATAAATAAATAAATATCGTTAAAAGTAATGGATTAATTTTTTGTTTAAAATGTCATTTTTTAAGATGGCAAGCAAGTGTAAATAAATACATTTACTATGAGTATAAAATACTAAAGTAAGGTTATTATTACTTTCATATAGCAAAGAAGAGAATAAAAACACCGCTATAAAAACATTGGGCCAACGTTTAATTAGATTAAAATATTACTGAAATTGAATATCGAATTAAAAACCATCCTACCAACATTTAAAAGAATTAGAATATTATTAAATTCAAATACTTTAAAATACGTTATATAGAATATAATTAACATTAAAACATATGGACAATAATTATCTCAGCAATTTCTGAAAATAGTGTATTAATTTTTTTAACAAAAATTGAAGTATACAATTATAAAATAAAAGAAAAATATGTACTTACATTTTTTTGAGTGTTTAACCTGTTGTTTATTGATAAGTCCCACAATAAAAAATCAAAATCATAATTTAGATAACATCTTTGAAGGAATTCGAAGATATAAATTAAATTTTAAAACGGCGCGGAAATGCACAAATTGTCAGTAACCAATCAGGGAGCTGATTACAGTTCGTTAATGCACAAATATTCTATAACCAATCAGAGAGCTTATTACATCACGGCTAGAATTAAAATTATTTAAAAATTCATACATAATACAATCATTTTTTAAAAAAAAATGCAAAATTAAATTGTATTTTAATATTTAAGAGCCATAAATAATGTTTAAAACATTAGATTAAATTTATACATATTAAAACGAATTACTTTTAAAGTAAGGTGACGTCATTGGTTACATCATCCACAACATAAAATTTCATAAAATACGATAAACAATAAAATTTTTATTTCAAATAAAAATGCAAAATTAAATTGATTTTTAATATTTAAAAGCCATAAATAATATTTTAAACACGGAATTTATGCACAATAAAACGCACTATTTTTTAAATAAAATGACAACAAAGTATCGGTTACCATAAATAACTTATCCAGCAATGGGTTTACCAGAAGTTGTATTACTCGCCAAAGGAAAATCGCCAAAATCCGTGCAACCGTCTACCAAAGTAGCACCAAGAGGGGTTTTAGATGAAATATTTAGATTGCATGATTGAATGCATTAAATTACAGGATATCACTCTAGAGCCATCTGCCCAAGGAGAGGAATGCCTTCGTGGAAAACTTGCTAGAGGAAATTAGCTTATGTTCACGTTACGCATGGGGGGGGGACTAGGAATTCTTCAAGAATTTTAAATGAAATTGTTTAAAGCTGGGTTTATTTAAAATAATAATAAAATTTACCTAGGTTCTAAGTCTTATTCTTTTAGACAATATGTTGGCCACTATAGTGTTAATGAAATTCGAAACCGTAATTTCTACTCATTTTCAAATTCTGAATGTTTAAGTTTCCTCCTGGAATTTTAAATTAAAAATTAGTAGTTAGTTCAAAATGTCTGGAATAGTAACGCTAAAAATATTTCTCATTTCTTCTAACATACACAAATCATTGCATATTGAAACAGCGAAGATACATCTGCAACTTTTAAAATCTGAAAAGTGTATGTCTACAACTGCTGAATATTGGTAGTTCGGCCGGATTCAAGGACCAGCGAACGCGCTGAATGCATGAGATTTTTTGTAATTTTCCCCTTGAGTAACGTGAATACGAGCCAGTTCCTCGTAAAACGCCCTTCACAAAAGCTTCTCTATCTTATGGGCAGATAACACTAGGAAGCTTTGTCGTAATCCATACAATGTAGTAGGAATTTTACAATGTTTCAGTTCAACGACGTTTTTTCCTGGTATTCTTTTCTCTTCGATGTCTTTACCCGAAGAGGAAGTGCTCTCCTCCAGACTCTAAACTTCTTTACACAGCCCAATAAATCACGCTTTTGCGCGTCTATCTTGGAAATAATGTTCATGTTTCATTTCGTTTCTAAATAATTTATAAAATCTTGAAACTTATACGTTTAAATAGCTTATATTTTTTATTTAACAGAACACATTTTTCTGTATTACTTCATATTTTAGAAATTGTATACAGATATTTCTGTTTGTTTATTTCTCTGCATTTTGAAGTAATATTTTGTGTTATTGTGTTTTTATTTATTTATGCCTTATTTTATTGCAGTCTTGTGTATATTTCTGATGCATTGCTGCGTACTTCGAAGCCACCTATTGTATTTTTTATTATTTTGATGTATTTATAAATTCTATGTATTATTATGGAAATAAATGTATTATTATGTGCAAGTGAGCGGTAGAAATTAGTTTAAAAAGAACTATTCGTCTAGTAACTTTGCAAAAATCTATCTGTCTGTCTCATAATATCAATGATTGTAAATAACCCCACTTTTTCTTTTTTAAATATTATATAGGTTCGAGAAAAACTCCGTGTTTCTATTGAGAGAGTTGCTGCTCTAGAAGAAATTGTTAGTCAACAAAATGAAGAGGTGATTAGAGGATATTATTAATTATTTATCTCAGTTTTATCAAATTAATTTTATTTAAGCATGCAATTGTATCTAAATAATTAACAACCATTTCTTTAATAGAAGGTATTATTTCATATATACACCACTCTATATTAAAAGAAAATTTGTAAAGTTAAACTAAATTCTATGCGAACATGATTTTTTGGTGTTATTTTCAATTAGCTCAATTTTATAGTAAGCTGATTTGAGTTTATATCATAAGCATTTAATTATTACTTTAAGCACTATTGCTTTACTTATTAATAAGTATTATTTTATGCAAGGAGACCGTGTTATGTGTCCAGTTTGTGTATTATTTGATATATTCCACAAACGTGTTCTAAAAATATTAGCTATATGTTCAGCAGATTCTAATTTAATTTTCAAAATCCCATAAGAAAAGTACTAACTTTTACCTAACAAGTCATGCTTAGTAGTAGATTCAAGAAAAATATGCCAGTGCCGTTTATTAATTAATTTAACTCTCCTAATTAATTCTTTTTCAAAAAGAGCTTTCTGCATTTTGGAAGACAAAAGACAGGATCTTTTATCCATGTCTGCATAATACAGCGGATATTTAGATCAATCAGTTAAAGGAAAAAGGAGTTAAAATTTGTGAAATATTCACAACTCATAAATTTAATCATTTTCTCATGTTTTCCTCAGCAAATGATATTAAATGTTATGTTGGTGATTAAATGGCATATTATTAAATTAATAAATAAAATAATATTACCACATATACTAAACTAAGGTATGTATAAGTTACGCCCTGAAGTAGGAGCTTTCGCTGCTCACAAGTGCCCCTTTTGCTTTAACTTAAATCTGAATGAGCGATTTTTCCATGTTTTTACAAAAAGGTGCAGTGTTTGCCTGGTGAAGCACACAAGTCATCTGGAAAAGCTCTGGTTTTAGCATAGTTTCTACATAATTTTGGGCTGATGGGAAAAAGAAGGTACCTTGTAAGTCTAGATTGTAAGTCTAGATTTCTTCGATAAAAATCCTCTGGTTATAGAAGCAAAGAAAAAAAAAATTAATTCTGTTTTTACATCTTGCCCATCATCCAAGGTTTGAAGGTCAACATTCGGAAAAGATGACATTCCGAAGGAGTAAATGCCAAGGATAAGGTAAAGCTTACCAGCAAACTCTAATAGTTTTTCCAAGTGATTAAAAGCAGTATGATGTCTGGAATTTTCATGCTAAAAGATAGCGCCTTGGCGACTGACAAGCACTGGCCGCTTACAAAACCTTTTCAAAATGAAGTCTTTTCTTGATGAGTCACTTTGCAAAGCCTGCTAAACTTGTAGTGTGACTAACTAGGCTTTGCTTCATGGCATACAGCCTTTCGATATGTAAAATTACCATGGAGTATCCATTTCTCATCATCTGTTTGGTATGTATAATATTCATTTAAAAAATAGCTAATTTGGAGAACGAGAAAACAAAGAAAGACACTGGATCTCACTTGTCATTGCTTTTCAGAGTGCTGATGTGGAACACACTGATCCAGCCTTGGAATGAACCCAGTTGCGTGCGTTCTTCTTCAAACTGTTGTTCTGAGAGTTTATGTTAATTCCTCAACAGTTACATGGAAGGCATTCAATATGGCTTGGTTCCAGAATCTGTTCAGAAACTGTTGATGGAACATGGCTAATTTTTAAAGCACCTGTCTTTGTGCTTGAACTTTTTAAACCGGAGATGACACATGCTGTCATTAAACGCATCCTTCCTGTACATCTGACGATCCCGTTCAGTGCTGCCTCTGCCGAACTAGTACAGCAAATGGTCTGATATGCTGCTCTTCTTCTTCTTCTTCTTCTTCTTTTTTTTTTTATATTAAACCGTTTAAAAATGTTTTTACCGAATGATTTATTCTTACAAGCAGTTTGCCTTTATTTGTTGTCTTCCTGTACGTTTTACTGGTTGAAAATTCCAACAATCATAGTATTATGTACGATGTCATATCCACCGCTAATTGAATCTCCAAAAAAACAAGAACTTTTGTATAAACCAAGTATATTAAAGCCTGTATAGCAGCGTTATTTTATTTATCATACTAAATTTTTATTGCAAGGTATAGGACATTTCTAAAAGGTGGTTACGGCCTGGATTCCCATATTTATTTATCCTTGACATAAACGGGTTATCATTAATTAAGGAAAAATCACATAAATGATGATTAATCAAAAAGTTACGAGTAAAATTTAATGAAACTGACCCACAGTATACAACACATAGTAAGGTATAAAATAACATACCAGGCAATTATGTCATAGATATTAGCATATGTGTAAAATAAACGAATCAAATGTGTCGGATGTGTCAGTTTAGTGTAGGAAAATTACCTTTAACATGAAGTGTGATGATCGAGCTGGCCATTCCATGCGCTGAATTGTTTGCTGCTGAAGATAATCATCCACGATCCTGTGCGGTGTAGCGTTGTCGTCTCGTTGCGGGAAATTCTCACCAATTGCTTTGAATAAGGGCACGCATAAGCATAAAGGATTTCTATATAGGCCTGAGCATTAATGTTCCCGCGTATGAAGACAGTGCTTTTACCAGAGAGATGCCACCCCAAACAGAGATACTGCCTCCTCCTTATGCATGTCACGGGTGTTTGATGGAGGATGACTTATTCCAGGTTCTCTCCAAATCAAATAACGCCTACTATCGCTTTGGAAGCTAAACCTGGACTCATCCATAAAGAAAACAGCCCTCCATTAATAAGCTGTCCAGTGGACATGTTGACGTGCCCACCTCAAACGTTCCCTTCTATGATGTGACGTGAGCGGTCACAGTTCACGTATTTCAGTTGAAGTGCCACTAATTTGCCTACTGCAGTTTTAGCAGCGTTCCTTATTTGACATCATACTCAAATTTTATGCGGATTGGTTTATCTTTGAGCGAGTTATCGCTATTTCTGTGATTTTTCCTTAATTTTAGGAAACCAATGTATATTTTCATTAAAATGCTTCTTGAAATATAACGGCTATTCTATAGAGAAATAAACTAAACTAGGACTATATAATTTTATATTTTTTCACTTAAAATGTATTCAATCTGAGAAATACTTTTTGTTGTGTAAGATCAGTATTTAAGAATCAAAAGTGTATGGCCATCTTTTTCAGTATGCTGTATATTCAGAAAAACTGAACTAGTATATTTTTTCAAAATTATTTGTTTTTGAAAATGGTATTTTACCATTTGTCTAGCTAATATTTTACTATTTATTTATCCATTGTTCTCATTTGAAATAAATGCCAAAAGAATTTAATTTTGTGAATAATGAGGATTGAACCTAAATGAAGTGCTGTTAATATTTATAAATTCTTTATAGAGATCTCTCTTATTATTTTGTTAACTATAAAAATCATCGTCTTTATTGTAAGGTAAAAATTATGTCCTTTAAACCTGCAGAAATAATTGACATGTCTCTTTATAGCTGTCTCAATATAAATCCCGTGGATTTGTACAAAATGACGAAATGAAAATGAAAAACAGTGATGATAATTCAAAGGTAATGTTATATTGTTCTCATTTGCTGCAAAATGTATCTTTGTTATTTGAATATTACTTCAAATATTAAATTAATTAAGTTAATGAAATCATTTCTACCTCTTTAAATAGGAAATAAAAACAAAAAACTTTTTAATGACCTTTGAATGGATGTTTTATAGTATAAAGTCTGAAATCCCGACATCCAATATCCGGACCTCCCGACCATCAACAATTTTTTTAAGGACTTTTTGCAGAAAATGAGAACGAATTAGATTATGATAGTAGCATATGCTTAGTGTTTCACGCATGTGCAGTAACATTTTTTTTATAGTAAAGCATGCCGATTGCCTTGATTCTTAAGTTCACTTCGACAGGGGCGTAGCTAGGGGGGCGGCAAGAGGGAGCATCTGTCCCCGGGCGCAGACTCCAAGGGGCGCCAAACTGATGTTACAACATTTTAGAATTAAATGTTTTCCATCCTTGGCAAGCAATAGGGGGCGCGAAATCTTCAGTTGTCCCTGGGCGCCGAAAATTCTAGCTACGACTCTGCACTTCGATACTAAATAATACACTTCCGTGTTGAAGAAACACAATTATTTACCATCATAAATCTGTTATGATCAATAATTTAGTTTCGTAGCCCCGTTATTGCTCGGCATACATGTCAAACTCAAACATTCAATGAAAATCTGTGGCCTATTCACGTGGAATGTGTGTTGTGGAGCCTGTTGAATATCATATAACACATAACGCCAATCTGGCGAATACTTTTTTTTATTATTTTTTGCTTTCATTACTATGACTATCAACTCACAACAGCTTCAGAAATAACTCACACAGTGATATCTAAAACAATTTTTGTTTTAAATATCAGTAATTGAATAGCAAGTGTGCCGACATTACACTTGGCGACGATTACAGATTTCAGACAAGTGCATTGTGAAATGTTAAGTGTGTTAATGAGTAGAAATTTGACAGAAATTTCCAAAATTAGATTTTGTAAATGATATTCATAGACCGTATAGTGCTGTTTGAATTAAGAATAACTGATTTTTTGCTTCGATAAGCCTTCAGCATACTTTTCCATTAACCACCTACTACGCATTTTCGTGCCGCGCGGAGTGTTATTTGCCATTTATAAAACTGGGCATTGTTGTCTAGTTATAAAAAGGAGCTCCCAAGACAAATCCAACTCCAAAGAAAATAGTGGACTGGAACCTATTTCACAATATCGCTAGCACATCGAAATTCAGTTTAGGTTCTCTTAAAACTAAACCAGACATTGACGCTGCAGTAAAAAATTTTACCAATAAACTTCAGGAGTTCTTACAAAATGCAACTACAGAAATGGGGAACAATTACCTGGACGGCACACTTCCTGCACGTATCAGAGCAGTTATTACTCAACGGAACAGACTTCGCAAACAGTACAGTAAAGATTGGAATCCGGCTATTAAGACTAGACTCACAAGGCAGATTAAAGCTCTCATCAGTGAGTAACGAAACGAAGTATGGAGTCACAAAATAGACAACTTAAATCTGGATGACGGTTCATTTTGGAACTTCACTCGGAAGCTGAAAAGAGTTTATCATCATTCTCAGCCAATCAAAACAACACACAGTTTTGCATATACGGATCAGGAAGAAGCGGACACTTTCGCAAAGCATCTGAGCAAGCAGTTCACTCCGAATGTAATGCCGAATAATAATGACTCTGATATTTTTGTTCAAAAATGGCTTGAGATTAGCACACCGATAAACACGATTAAGCTCACTACTCCTTTAGAAATAAAAGATATCATCAAGCACACCAATTCAAAACAGGCGCCTGGAAGTGATAAAATAACGAACAGAATGATGAAGAACATGCCTCACTGTCTAATTACCAAGCTGACTAGCATCTACAATGCTTGTTTGACGCATTCATATTTTCCAACCCCGTGGAAGCATGCAAGCATTTTTCTGATACAAAAACCAGGCACGCCTCCCGATGAACCGGCCAGTTACAGACCAATTAGCCTCCTGTCGACACTGGGAAAAATTCTTGAAAGAATAATTTACGATAGAATTAAACCTTTCCTCGATATTCTGGCGGATGAACAACATGGTTTTCGAAGAGGACTATCCACTTCTCATCAGTTAGTCAGAATCACTGAATATATTGGAGCGGCTTTACATAACAAAAATAGTGCAGCCATCCTCATGCTAGACGTGGCAAAAGCATTTGACCGCGTCTGGCATAGAGGACTTATTTTTAAGCTCATCAATTTGAATTTTCCTCGGGAAATTATTCTCATTTCTGAACTGCCGGACTTTTTCAATGCGGCAAGGAGATTCCAGTTCAAACCCACATCAAATTTACGCTGGTGTCCCACAAGGAAGTATCCTTGGACCAATATTTTATATTTTGTACGTAAATGACTTCCCAAAATTCAGACAAGACCATAATATTATGTTAGCATGCTACGCGGATGACACCGCCATCATCGCGAAGTCCAGACGACCAAACCACGCCTTGGAAAAGATTCAGCAGATTATTCCTGATATTGAAGCATGGTGTCAATGATGGAAAATTCAGATCAACACGGAGAAGTCAAAAGTTTTAGTTATCAGAAAATTCAAGACCACAGACCCCCTCACCTGTAATCTTACACTCTTCGGGAAAACAGTCCCTAATGTAAGCACGGCAAAATACCTAGGATTCATTTTAAATCGATCTTTTACATGGAATGCACGCATAAACAATGTTGTGGTAAAGCATACGGCATTGTGAAAAAGCTTTACCCACTACTTTCTAAGGACTGTGGATTAAACCTTGCACGCAAAAGAAGGCTTTACACTGCAGTTGTCAGGCCTGAACTATATTAGAAATGAAGATTTACATCGCGACCTTCACATTCAAACATCAAAGACCATTTATCCAAGATAAATGGAAACTTTTTCAGAAAAGCAAAGACTAACAGTACAGCTAACTTTGAGTATATTCTGAGATATGAAATCATCCCGGACGATTTGCTCATCCGACCTTATGCTGCACACTTAATAAGGCAAGCCAATAATTAAGTGTTCTCGTCAGTACTCCGTGCTGACGCTCCGTGTGCATCTTTCCACTTCATCTCTTCTGACAAGGATTCCAATCTAGATTTAGACCAATCTCAGTGAAGTGCCAGCAGGCTACGAGTATAGTGTACTAGAAGAGTGCACTATACTAGTACACTATACTACGAGTCCTTCTACTACACTATACTACGAGTATCTTACGAACTTTTGGAGTAATTACCTTGGACTTGTTCTTGTTTGGACCAGTGTTGCAAATAGGTCGCGTCATCTCCTGAGCCTGGGCGTAAATTCCGCCGTATCCCCTTTTCTCCCCTCAGAGGAAACTCAATCAGGAATTTTCTAATACCAGGCTCCGCATGGAACTCTATGCATGACTGGGAAGTATTGCTCCGGCAATAGAAACCCAGTACAATACAGAATATCGCAGTTATAAAAATGGTTTATAGATGGCATTGTTGTCGCGTGCGTACGGGTTCGTCCGCCGAGGTATTTCTAATACATTCTGCTTCTCGAAATTACAGGAAGGCAGACCGAGTATGGCTAAAGAGTATTTGAAAACAGTTACAGTTATTCAATTGCAATACCTATTTTTACGGTGATGCAGAGACCGGGCCAAAATGTCGCCAAAACCATTGTCAACTTGGTGATAGCTTGCCAAATTAGGGAGGCTCAATGTTAAATATACTTGTCTCTAGTTTCTTACTTTTCCGCAAGCTTCTCTCATTTAGATTTTCATGTTACATTATACAAAAGAAATGCAACAATTTCGCATATAATTTCACTAAAATGTGTACAAAATTCGTCACATTATTTTTATTTTCCTTATTTATTTATTCATTTTGTCTATCTTGCAGACATTTTATTCATGTTGATAAAGAAACCTAGCTTTCCATTTGGAATTAAGAATTGTTTTTTTCCTGTCATCTCAACATTTAAATAAGTTAATTATTGATTGTAGGTACTTTCTTATAATACTTTGCATGGTTTTCAATAATTTATAATGTATTATACTACTATAAAGATATTTTCCTAAAAGCTAAGCAATAACTTTTCAGCATGTGCTTTTAAGTTATGGTTCAGCATCCATTTTTCATCATATTTTATAAATAAGTTATTGAAAAAGGCAAGCACTTCATTTTTAACTGAAAGGAAATTGCATATGACATACTATACATTGAAGGCAACTATTTAACTCTTTATTGATCTCTCTCTCTGTTTCTATTCATTTATCAGTTTATTGATTGCCTACATTATTATTGATATTATTGAGACACACCCACTTGTTCACCAGTTTTCTTGGTTAAATCTTTCTTTGATGTTCTAAATGTAGTCCAAATCATTATTAAGGACATGCCTGATTCTGCTTAATTGTGCAAATGTTAATTTATGTGGTACATCTGATACATTCGTCATCAAAATGCATGTATTCAGCTTTTTTAATATTCTTTTGTTATTCATGATTGCTTATTTTAAATTTTTAAACAAGGAACTTAAATTTACTGTGATAATAAAATGTGATTAAGTGCACAAATTAAGAAACATTTTAATTAATGAAAATTGACAAATTATAAATTTTTCCTGTTAGTAATACTGCAAAATTTCAGAGCAACCTAATACTTGCATTCATTAGAATAATTTTTATTTTAACTAAATAGAGCAGCTTTGACTAAAAAAATCATTGGCTTATCATTCCTAATGCAAATTGCTAGTTGGAAGAGAACAATAAAAATATTAAGTATGAATTATTTACCATCCCTAAAACAGTTCTGCAATTAGACTGTTTAATTATCATCTTCTATAAAATAAATACCTGAAATATTATATAGTGCTCTATTTTTTATATTACCATAAGTTAATTTTTAAAATTCTGATTTCTTTGCATCCAAAATTAGGCCTGTATTGAAACATCTGTTTAATTAAGAGATTTTTGTATTTGTTAAAATTTATTCTGTGTTGTCCTCATTATTAGTAATCATTTTTGGCTCCATTTCAGGTTGCAAATGGCAGTATTGATGCTGGTGTTGAAGCATCTAAGGTCATTGAATTGCAAGATATAATTGAAAAGCAAGCAAATGAGATAGTTGTTGGTCGCAACAAATTACTTGATTTCAGTGGGAAGGTGGAAGAATTAGAAGATTCAATGTCAGCTGCACATAAAGAACTGACTCGTTTGCATATGGAAAATAGTAGATTATCTAGAGATTTGAGAGAGGTGATTTTCTTTATGTTGCAAATTTCCTGTTGAAAAATGATTGCTTAAATATAACATATAAAAACAGAATAATACATTAGTTATAATGTATAAAATGTATTTAATGTGTATGTATTATTTTATATATTATATAAAAACTGAACATATTAACTGTGTGTGAGGCAGTTTTGTTTCACAGAATGCTTTAGATACCAGTGCCTCCTTTGAAAAGATATTTTTTAATAAGCTTCAACATAAATGTTTCCATTATTGATGCATTTCTTCAGGCAATAAATCCAACATTTGTAACTTTTCTAAAATCATTATTTATGAGTTATTTAACTGTTCTTACCTTATAATGTCAAGAAGAGAATTAAAAAATTCTTGTACATGCAGGGTATCCACAAATGATTTACTACTACTATACAATTTGAACTGCTCATAAAATGAATCTGGACAGAAGAGCAAAGAACTTTTTTCAATGATAGATATACTGTTCAATCTTTGTCTAATGTAAACAGTATGGGTCCACGTCTGCAAAATGCTGGTTTTGATATGTTGAAATGTTGCAGTAATATAAGCATAGAGATCATCAGTAAACATGACTTTGTCTTGTAGATGTCATTCTTCATACAACCTCATAAAGAAAGCTAATTTTTTTAATTGAAACTATGACAGAGATTCTATTTCTGTTTACTTGTATCCACTACTGCCTCTACTCATTGTAACCTGTAAGGCACTGTTGACTTTAAGAAAACTCTGACAGCTTCCAGTTTCTTTCTTGTAACAAGAGGGAAATGTACCTTGTACTGCACAAGACAATGGAATTGTATACATCATCTGTGGGCATCCTGTATTTTTTTAAGAGGAAGTTTTGATTTTCATGATTATTACTAACCATATTTACAAGCATCTTTCAACATTTCATTATATGTGTTAGAACCAAGCCTAAGTTTTTACCTTTCATTCTTAGTTTGATATTGTAAAAGTGGCAACATTTTTCTACAAAGAGGAAGAATCTCTGGAAAAGAATAATGCTTTTGAATAATAGCTATAAAAATATGAAGAGTTTTCAGTGGTATATGGTTCTGGTGCCATGCTTTTTATTCTTGATATTTCACAAAATGGTATATTTCAGGTGCATTTCTTTTCCTTTACATTGTATAAATTTCCTTAGAATATCATAAAAATAAAATAGTTATAAACAATTTTATTAAGCTATAATATGTTTGAATGTTTATAATACAAAAATATTTATATTACATGCTTTTTTTTATTACTTATTATGCATTATTATTTTGCTGCTGAGTGCCCTTGATATTTTTGGCAATTTTTGTGATGCCAAGGAACAATGTTTCTGAGATGGCTTTCATCCAAAATAACACCCCAAACATATGTTACAAAAGCAACTAAAGTACTCATTGTTGTGTTCTCGGCAACATCTCAGTATCAGCATCATATGACTATTGCACATACATAATGCAAATCAAGTAATTCTGAAACTGATCCTCCTTCTCCTGATCCTGGTACTGGTGATGGCCCATAATCTCTGCAAAGTAGAAATGCAAAATGTCATTCAAATGACTGCCGAAGACCCTGCTTGTTAAAGTCGCACTTAATGTGACTCTGCAAGCTCTCAATTATGTTCTTATGAGTGCCAGTTTTGGGCATCTTTCTGGTGAAAAACCCACTCATAGTCATCTGATTGATCCTTAAACGTGACCAGATGCACATCTTTTGTAGAAACTTAAGATTCATAGCGAGAACTAATTAAATCTTTATTGGTACACCAGTCAGTTACAGCTTTCTTACCCTTTCAGTCTAAGTCATGGGAAAAAAAAAAAAAAGAGAATTTATCTTACCAGACATATTTCTTTGTGGAAATGACAGGACAATGATTAAATAGAACCAGCCAGCTAATGAAAACCAAAGGTTGATTAATGGTAATTAAAATTCCAATAATTCAAAATACATGATTTGTAATATATGATACATGTACTGCATATCATATAGCTTCTCAGCCACTAAACTAAGAAGTTCCAATCAAGTTAAACTTCAGAAAACATTGGTATGGAACAAACAAAAAACAAACCAAAAAAAAAAAAAAAAACTGGCTGCCATAACATTGGAAAAACAGAATCGATTCTGGGTTACCAGAAAACTGGTACCAGCATTGGTACTTTGGCGTCAAATCAAAGAGCTCTCTTTTCTACACTAGAACCTTTTTCCTTATGCGAAGTTACTTACAATGCCTTGAAGACAGATTTTATTGTTTCTATTGTGTAAATTTTATCTGCTGGCAAAATGGAAACTGGGAAATATTTGGGGCAAGCCTGTATATAAGCAATCTAGGGGAGATATAATGCGTAGGTGTATTCTAGACTAATTAATTTCTTTATTGAGAAAATGCAAAAGTCTCCAAATGTAATATATGGAAGAAGTAACTTTTCTTAATATTTTATATTGATATTTTGATTCTTTATGTTTGGGATCTTGAAATTCTTGAACGACTAAATTTAATGAAATTTAGCTTAAAACTGTTTCCAGTGTTACTGTGCAAACTAAATACAAAAAACAGGTAATTTGTTTTTAAATTTTTAATGTTAATGATAAGCTTTCCTTTGAAGTATTAGACCTGATGTGTCCAACCGTGGGCCATATGTGATCCTCGGAACTCATTGATGTAGCCTGCATCAGCAAAATCATCTTTGAAAAGAGAACTATTCAGAGGATTTTTAGTTGATATTATTCCCTGCTTGAATAAACTGAATATGATTATCAAAAACAACTGGTAAATGATTTAGGTTAAAATAAAACTCTGAACAATGATTAATTTAAAAGGCAAACAACAAAATCAGCATTATATTTGTAGATTTTTCAGGACTAGTTTCAATGGTTTTACTACTGAACCATCTTCCTCATCTACCAACATGCAAATGAACGAGATAAGATGTGGTGATAAGATAAGAGGTTAGGTTAGGTTAGGTTATTTAATTACGGCAAAGCCTCGAGGGCTATCTGCCTATAAGGAGGGATGCCTTCGTGGAGGACTTTCTAAGGGAAACTGGCTCGTATACACGTTACACATGAGGAAAACCAAAACACTCATGCAGCCAGCCCGTTCGCGGGATTCGAACCTCGGACCGAACTACCAGTGTTCAGCGACTTTACTGCTCGGCCGCTGGTGGGCGATAAGATAAGAATGGTTGCACAACAGTTAAACTACTGGCATCATCTATTGATGAAACAAGAAGCTAAAACATAGTTTCCTTAAAAACTGAAGGTAAAGATGGGTTGGAATTATGGGCATTATTAACTAGAACAGAAAAAAAAAAAAAAATCATGTGAAATGCCTGTATAAAAGTTGTTTGAGTTGCTGTTTGACTTCTAAATTAATAGTAAATTATGTTTGAGAGAATAGCAGATTTAAAAATTGAACTGAAATTGTTTCTATTTTTCACTGAGAGCTATAGTTTAATTGTGTGGGTAGAGTTATAGTATAAATGAAAATATATGTTGCATTGATTGCCATTTCATATGAACACTTTCAACACTCATTTGACAACAGTTTCCAGAATTTCAGAAAACATCAACTTAATTTCAGTATATTTTTTACTGCATTCTCAACTGATACCAAATTTACCTGCGAAGTTACAGATGGACTGTGTAGTATTGAAATCAGATTCATAACATAAAAAGAATTTATGAGTTGGAATTTTATCAGCTGTATTCATTATGCTTCATAAATGTTATGTGTTTATGATGTCTCCTTTCAAAAGCATAAATATAACATTTATCCTATTTTATTTTATGAAACATCTAAAAATTCAGACTAGCAAAAATTTCAAATGAACATTTTGAATGTACTGTTTATGCTTGCCACTAGCAAATCTATCAGGCTAGATATTTACGTACTAGTATCCAAAATACAGGCTTAATGTTCATATTTAAAATATTATAATTATAATTTTCCTGGTAAGTAATTTTGCAGATTAAAAAGTAAATAGTTTTATTGGACACAACAAATAAAGAATGCTAAATTATGAATGCACTTGGCGATTTGCAATTTGGCATATTTTTGTGTACTCCTTGATACATCCTTTTATGGCTGTGGCTATGTGGTGTAGAAACTCCACTTGATTGAGCACCTCTGTGTTAGATAATCATAAAGATTTCAGATTGTAGTTTTTATGGGAAAATCAGTGATAAGTTTTTTTCCTGCAAGTCTTAGCTTATTCTATTTTTTGTTTATATACTGAAAGAGAAAAGAAATGAATCTATGAACAAGCAGTAATACACTTTAGATAATTATTCAGAAACAGGCACTTATGTATTTTAAAAATTAGTTATTTCTTTTAGTAAATTGGGGGGTATATTACAGAAAATTATTCATTTAGATAATTCCTGTTTAGGTAAAGTATGTTTATTGATATATAAAAAACTTTTCTTTTTTTAGGAAATAAATCTTCAAAACCTTTCATCCGTTAATATGCATTATTTTTTTCAGAAGCATGCACAGAAAGAAGACCAGGAAGAAAGAATTATAACTTTAGAAAAAAGATTTTTAAATGCTCAAAGAGAATCAACCTCCTTGCGAGATCTCAATGAGAAACTTGATCAAGAGCTTTCCAATAAAGAAGCTCAATTAAAATTGGTAAGTTGTGAACAAAGTGAAATTGATGTTTTTTACTGATAATGTGACTTAATTTCTCAAATCTAGCACTTTTGAATCGTTTTGATTGGTATTTTTTAATTTATTTAAATTTTGAATAATTTAATTATTGACTATATTTAAGTTTTGGTATGCTGAAAATATGCATCAGATTTTCTGGTACTTACGTATTAACGGCACCACAGCAGAAGTTGCACTGATGCGACAATAAAGAGCAATCCTTTCGTTCGCATGCAGTTATCTTGTGGACTTCTTTTTGCCTTGTTGTTTGCTGATTTTTGATGCCATTTATTAGTGCTACGAAAATGCATCTTTTCGATTTGCCAAACACAGAAGATGCAATTTTATTTTTCCAGGAGTGAAATATTTTACCAAAAAAAAATGAAAATGTACCAATTCGCATGATATGAAACATTATTTTGGTTAGCATATATTTTAGAAATGTAATTTAAGACAGTGTGATCAGCAAGTGGGACTTGGAAAAGACATCTGGTTTGAAGAAAGCAGAATTCCATTTTGTTCAGCTTTGAGATTCATATACTGCTGGTGTGTGGAGTTGACGTCGATTCAATTTTCTGAAAAGCAACTTCATTTATCCGATAAAACTGTTATAGATTGGAACAATTACATGCATGAATTATATGTCTTGGATATGGAAAATAAACCAAACAAGAAAATAGGTGGACCAGATTGAAATATGGAAATTGATGAAAGTTTCTTTACTAAACATAAAAATAATTGTGGTCGAATATTACCCGAACAATGGGTGTTTGGTGGTATATGTAGAGAAACAAAAGATTCATTTGTTGTCACTGTTCCTCGTAGAACTGGCTCTACTCTTCTTAATTATTAAAAACATTGCAGACGGTAGCACAAAATTTATTTTGACAGTTGGAAAGGTTACCAAACAAATAGAATAGGAAAAGAAGGATTCCTACATGCTAAAGCTAATCATAAATACAATTTTATTGATCCTGATACAGGAGTTCATACACAAACAGTCAAAGAGAATGTGGGGCAGTGCTAAATGGAAGAACAAGAGACATAGGGGAACAGCAAGACATCATTTAGAATCTTATTTAGCAGAGTTCATATGGCAACAGCATCAGGTCAAAGAAATAGACTGTTTTAAATCTATGTTAAACTCTATATCGGCCCATTTTCCATCGAAATCTAATTGACTACTTTGATTTTAAATAAAGTGCTTTAATTTATGATTTGTCGCAAAAATTTTAGGTGTAGATTGGCAGCACTTAAAAACTGCCAAATCTGAATCTGCGGTGGCATTAATACGTAAGTGCCTTTTTCCTAGCCGTTCGTACAACTAGAAGAATTTCACTTTCTATGCTATCAAATGCAGAATATAAAGTTAAGTTTAAGAATTTGCATTAAGCAATTAGTAATCTTCTATATTTTATAACAAAAAGCAGTCACATTAAAAAAAAAGTCTGATAATCATGAAACTAAGTTTGTAAAGACATCTTAGTATGCAAGCGATAAAAAAATGCATCACCTTGACAGTGTAAAAGTATAATACACAACAAATGTATAGCATGAGTCATATGTATGAAGCATTGTTTATTCACTTTGCCATATGAGACTGAATCTATATAAAAGTCAGAAGACCCTTATAACTATAATAAAACCAATTCGTGAATTCAGCAAGGTTCATATAATTTGCCTAAAAGAAATGAATTGCTTATGTTAATGAATTGCTTAGAACATGGATCAAAGTAATGGTAGAATCAGATGAAGAAATGATGCAGTTCTAACTGAGCTCCCATACTTATCCTAAGCAAATTAGTATACTTATGACAACTACATTTATTAGTTGTTCAACAGCAAGTGCTACCAGAAGCATATTGGGAACTTTGCTGTTTGCCATTCAGAGCTACACATTCTGTTTTACCTTAGTATATCACAATATGTCATTGTAAGAAAGCCAGCAATTATTTGTGCTGCTTTTAATGTTATCCCTAGCTCATCAGTCCTGAAGGCAGTCCTACACTAGTGAGCCGGAAAAAAATGTAGAATTTATCAGGCTGGAACTGCATCATGTTGAGCAATGAATCATGATGCCAGTGGCGACTCGTGGATTTCTTAAATGGAGGTTCATAAAACAAATTTCAAAAAATAAATATACAGATACAACATAACTTAGATTTGCCTTTACAATATTGCAAGATGATATAAATTTGGCAACATTTGGGTTTGGTCCCTGTATCGCCTTAATAGGTATTGTAATTTAATAACTGTAATGATTTCATATGCAACTAATTGTACCGGCCCTTATATGCCATCCAGTAATTTTGAGAAGTACTACTAGATAATTTTGGGCAGCCAGGCCAGATAACAGCTGTATAAGGCCAGAGAGATCATCTGCTGTCAGTTGTTAGCTGTTAGATCAGCATGAGTTCGGAGTACTGATATATCTCTGTATTATCTTCTCTCTTTAAATGCGCTTTGCATTGCATTCTATTTAACATTCTTAGTAGTTTAAAATGTAAATACTGATTATATTCTGTTATACTGTGAAGAATTTTATGACTATTTTTGTGGAAAGTTCCAGAACTCTGAAGTGTTTCTTTTGATAAAATAAATTTTATCAACCTATCATCGTACCTGTATGCATTCAATCTATTATGAACCCATATGCATGCAACAAAATTGTTGACAACCAGAGAACTATTGGACAGTACTGTGGCATTCAGCACTATAATATCTGACTACTGTGGCAAACTATATTGAAATTTTCTGCATGTTATAATCTTCCATTAACTTACTAGATCTTCAGATTATTCCCCAAATAGGCATGTATAGGATATATTAGAATGCCAGTTGCAACCATATCATGATATGCTTGAACTTGTGGAAGAGTTACAGAATACCTGCAGGAAGTTCTACCATATAGCATTCATCATGTATGTGATTTCATCCATGCCATTGCCCACCAGCGGCCGAGCGGTAAAGTCGCTGAACACTGGTAGTTCGGTCCGAGGTTCAAATCCCGCAAACGGGCTGGCTACATGGGTGTTTTCATGGTTTTCCCCATGTGTAACGAGTATACAAGCCAGTTTCCCTTAGAAATTCCTCCATGAAGGCATCCCTCCCTTTAGGCAGATAGCCCTAGTGTGCTTTGCCATAATTAAATACACCACACCACACCATCCATGCCAGACCATTTATCTTTATGTGTTTCTGCTAGAAGAAACTATAGATATTGATTTGTAATAATGATTCTGAATCTTTTTTTGACAATTAAATAAGATATCTATCCATTTTGGTACTTTTCCATTAAAACCATATCAGGCATTTTTAGTGAATATTGCCTTCTTACCCCAATGGCTCAATCTAGACAAAACAGAACGATCAGGAGCAGCAATAATGAACATTATGTAATTTCATTCAAAATTATCCAAAAACTGGTTGTAGTAGAAGAAATATGGCTTGCATTATTTTTTCTTTTCATGAATAAGTCGATAAATAAGTTTCTACAATTTTGTTGTATTTGTCAGTTTTAATACCAGGACATGATAAGAACACAACAGCTCATGTATCTATTGTATAATTATTCTACTTAATCATTTGAAGCAAACACTAGTTTATGATATTCAATAGACATTAGCTAATGATGTTGTAAATAAATAAATCATATGACAGCAACAAAAAAGAATGACCCAGCAAACCACAATTGTGCTTGTTCACTTTTTTTTCCTTTCCGATATGATCCAAAGACTGCATACCATTTTGGCCTTTATGAGCTAGTTATTCAAATGTAATCTTTCTTTTTTTGTGAAGACCATCTCTTTTTTTGAAAAAAACAAGATAGTGTTTGTTCATCTTGTGGCAAATCCTATGGTTTCTTCATCTCATGCCAATTCGTGGAATCCATTTCAATTTAAAAGAAAAGTAAAAACATGATCGTTATAAAGAAAATTATTGCTAAGAAAGAAGTGAAACCAAACTTGTGACACCTGGTGCCAAGGAAATTTAAAAAAAAAAAAATAAATAAATAGAAGGGAAAAAAAGAAAAGTTTATATGTCTTTAAGTGAAAAAGCATCTTTATTTTTAGCTACTCTTTTATCTTTTGCTTATTTACTGTTTCATGATCAAACAATCTCCCGATCTGCGCAAACTTGGAATCTCAAAAACTACATGCTTATACAAAATTTTAATTTTTCATTTTTAGTGTAGTATTTCTTATAAGGACAATTTTTTCTTAAGCTGTTTTAGTTGTCTTGTGTTCCTCTCCAGCTTGAGAATGTAAATATTAATTTTTATTCTTTAATACTCATAGTGAACTTATGACTAATAATATTAATCTGAATTAATATTAATGAAAGAAAAACATTTTTTAAGAAAATAGGTATTTTATAGGATGTAGTATTCAGAAAAATAAGGAAAAGAGGGAGGGGGAAAGCAATTGAATACTTGTGTGTTGCAACTTAGTCATAGTGAATCTTTTATAAGAGCTTGTTGTGATTTATGTTTCTTTAATTATGCATGAGTAAAACATGATCTTAAAATTACTTTCATAGAGTGAAGAAAAAATCAAGGCTTTGCAGGAGAGGTTAGAATTAGCAGAACAGAAACTTGCACAATTTTCGCCTAAAACTGATTCCCCAAAAGATGCAAGCGAAGAAGCTAAGAATAAAATGGATGCTATTAGTCAGGTAACTGCATTTGATTGCATTTGTTTTTATTTATGCTGTTTTTTTCTTTTCCCCCTTTCTTTTCCTGTGTATTATTAGGTAAGTTTTATTAAAGAATCCAAGATGGTTATATATTTTCCAATATTTATTGCTAATAATTCATATATATAAAACAAATAACTGCATATATTTTACATTTAAACTGTTAACCATCAACAAGTAGAAATGTTGTTTCCTCATTAGTGGAATACTTCAGTTATAATTTCAATTTCATTTGAACCATCACAGATATAACATGATATGAGTATTTGGTTCTTGAAAGTCTGTTTATATATATCATAATTATACTCTATATAATGTATTATTTGCAGAGAAGCTTTAATTATAATAGCTATTTTTTTATTTTTAAAATACAGTAATTTTAAATGAAACCTAACAATTTTTATGAAGGGAAAAGAACTGGATACTAAAGCACACATTATTTGGTTATATACAGAAATGTTATTCAGTTTTAGTTGTAACAAGTTTAAAATTTAATGAAGTACTGTATTCTATCTACAATCTCTGTTAGACTGTAGGCATTTACATTCTGTGCTAATATTTTAACCGTCTGAGCAGTGTGGGTTTTTCGATCTGTCAAGAAGACCTATATTTAAACAGCATTTATTAGCTAAGCTTGTATAATTACTTATTTTAATCTCTATTTCCATAAATTATTACATTAATATCTATGTTATTACAGAAAGTAAGAAAGCAAACTATCTGAAATTAGAAGCTAATATATACCAAGTGACAAACAATCTCATGACAAGATAAAGCCGGTCATGCCAATGACAGGGTTAAATAACTTAATTGTTTATCAGAATATGTAAGAAGACTATGACTTCAAAAGTTTTGGAGTTTGAAGTCATTTTATTTTGTTTCTTTAAAAAATAGAAACTAACGTTCAAAGTTGTAAGAAAATGGTAAAAATTAAATGGTTGTACATCAGTCCTCAACAAATCATTCCATCTAAATTATCTTATCATTGTTTAGACTGAACTGCATCAAATTTATGAATTCTTCTAAATGTTATTTATTTTGGTTTCTTTGTGAAAATAGCTGTGATTTTTTCAAGGACCTTGCAGGCTTTTAGAATAGTTTTCTATGATAAAGTGAAATTTTCACTGCAGTTTTCTCTGTTTAGCTTAGTGTAATAATTTTATACATGATGAACAAATTAGAAATGAACAAAATGAAAAATAATAAACCCTTTTTCTAAAATGACAGAGCTATAGTGTTGAATTATTTAAATTGCTTATATTATCATACATTTTTAAACTCTGAAACATTTTTAAATTCAAGGATCATTAATGTAGCTTATTTTTGATATTTTTGGCCCTATTTGACTTTTCTAAACTTTTGGACAAGACAACAACAACATTTTTAAATAAATTTAAAGTGATTCATTAATATTATTAAAATAAGAAAATGGCATCAAATATTTAAAATGAGCTTTAAGACGCTTAAAGCCTACTTCTACCAAAAGAACTATAATAGTATATAGTTTATATGAAAAGCACAGATTACTTAAAATCTCATATAGTCCTTAGTATATGTCAGCTTTTTTATACCCTCTTTTTGGTATACAATGTGTGTGGATGCGAAAATTTTTGTTTGGTACTATACAACATTTGTTTGGAATACAACGCTAGTTTAATGAGTCACAGTTGTATTCACTACTTTTGATTACTCTTTTGAAACAATGGTATGACTGCCAGTGAGCAGCAGTATGCCTATTGCTACTACTCATTTAAGATCCCATGCTATAGCTCTGAATGTTCAAGTGATTTTGTGTTTCTTCATGAAAACTTTTTGTAAATTCATTAACAGTGAATTTTAGGAAAGTGAACGAGAGCAGCCGAGCAATGAAGAAAATTATTAGGAGCACAATGGAGGTTAAAAAAGGAGAGAGAGAGAGAGAATTCTTGAAAAGTATGAAGATGACATGCACATCTGGATAGGAAGCTTGGCTATTTCATACATACGTATGCCAAGTGCAATGACTACATTTATGACTGGGCTACAAAAAGACTATTAAATCAGTCTGTGCTGCAAAAGAGGTGAAATCGATTACCAAACAAAGATAAATAAAGAGTATGCTGAAAAATTGCTTTTGATCTGGATAGCAAAAAACGTTTATGTACCATATCATGTGTAGTGCTTTGTTAATGGTATATATTTCATTCCTCTGATGTATTTCATTCACTGCAGTTGTATTCTAATATTAAATGGTGTTATAATAATAACAATAGGATTTGTTTATAAAAATAGGTTCATTATTTGCCCTTTATTATTTATTGGAAAAGTTCATTTGGTAAATGTTCAGTATGTTGTACACCCAAGAATCTAGAACAGATTAATGACATATACCAAAGTATCTCTGTATTTTTTATTATACAACGTGGTTAAAAAATGTGTTTTAATTTAAAAATAAAAAATTGCTTAGCTTTATTTTCTTTTTATAAATTTTACAATCATCAAATTTGTGAACTTTTTTTTTTTTTTTTTTTTTTTTTTTTTTTTTAATTTTCTAGAAATTTCTCTAGGAGCTACAAAAAATTTACAGTATACAAGGAAGAGTTTGTAATTATTTCCTGCAATGCAATGTGTAAATTTAAATTATTTAGTTAGTATCTAATATTATTAGCATAACAATAAATAAAGGATACATTTGAGATGAATTTTTTCTAAAATATAGGAAATTATTAAGAAAACCAAAAAAGTATTCTTTAATAATACATATCAGTGAAGTTCTTACAGAATTTGCCATAGAATAAAGAGGCTATGATGAATTCTTATAGTTTGAAATTCGAGCTCGAGTCTTGTTTTATTAAAGATTTAGCTAAACTTGGATATTAAGAGCTTATACAGGAAAGTTCAGATTTCCTTAAAACAGCAATAAAAGCTTAAAATGAACTATTCATATATATATATATACATAAAATCTCCAGGTAACTTTTAAATTTAAATTAAGATTTTCTCCCCAGTTTAAGGTTAAATTATCTAAAACAGAGAACAACACTTTTAACAGCAACCCTCTTACATTTTATCACTGAGTACCGTCACATTTCAAAACATTTCTGTTACTTGGAGATAATATATAAAAAAACTTTTTCTAATAATTAATTAATGGTTTTTAACAGAATTTCTCTTCCTTGGAGATAATATATAAAAACTTTTCTAATAATAAATTATTAATCATTACTTAGCAGCTTTATTGCAAGTTTTACATTTATTCATTTACTCATAGTTACTTTTTTTAGAATATATATATATATATTTCTGTTTTTCCAACTTCTTTTATTACATTTTGTGAATCTTCGGTGTCTTTTCTGCAGCTAACTTTTCTGCAATTTTGTGTAATTTTCGTCTGTAATAACTTTTTGCTTTATCATTGTTAGTCTTCTTAGAATTCCTGATATATTGTTAGTCTTCTTAGAATTCCTGATTTTATGTATATATATATATACATAAATACGTATATATATATATATACATAAAACTTACCCTCTTACATTTTTATCACTGAGTAATTTATGTATATATATATATACATAAAATCTCCAGGTAACTTTTAAATTTAAAATTAAGATTTTCTCCCCAGTTTAAGGTTAAATTATCTAAAACAGAGAACAACACTTTTTATGGCAACCCTCTTACATTTTATCACTGAGTACCGTCACATTTCAAAACATTTCTGTTACTTGGAGATAATATATAAAAAAACTTTTTCTAATAATTAATTAATGGTTTTTAACAGAATTTCGCTTCCTTGGAGATATATATAAAAACTTTTCTAATAATAAATTATTAATCTATTACTTAGCAGCTTTATTGCAAGTTTTACATTTATTCATTTACTCATTATTACTTTTTTTAGAATATATATAGATATATTTCTGTTTTTCCAACTTCTTTTATTACATTTTGTGAATCTTCAGTGTCTTTTCTGCAGCTAACTTTTATGTAATTTTGTGTAATTTTCGTCTGTAATAACTTTTTGCTTTTATCATTGTTAGTCTTTTTAGAATTTCTGATGAATTCCTATGTAAATATTTGTTTAATTTTACTAAATTTTGTTTAGATTCATGAACGACAAGGAAGTGTTGAAGAAAGACTTCTTAGGTTAGAACAGCAGTTGGAAGAGAAAAGTACAGAACTTTCTAGAGTATGCTTTTTTAAATTGGATTGCATCATATCTCATAATACAGAAACTTGATAAAATATAATATGATTAGTATAATTCCAAATGAATATTTTTTCCATCAGAAAAAGAAGTATTTTTAATATTTTAAATTATGTTTATCTAGGGATGCAACTGAACTGTGTATCTGAATTTTACCTTCATATGAAACTTTTATCATATAATCATGCTAGTGTACAAAATTCAAGGGTAACTGAAAAATTCGATAGTACTTTTACTATATAAAAATAAACATCTGTGCTTTTAAGATTAATACATTATGTTATTTATATGCTACAGGATTGCATGGTAAAAATCTGTGAAGGAAATATATGTATGGCAGGAGGAAAATCATGATATATCTTTCGCTGTGGATAGAAATATGTAATGTGATGTTTGATAACTATGAGTTGATTTGCAGGTATTTCAAAATCTACTCATGTATTTCATCTACCGGTTGGTTAAATTATGTAGAATTAAGGCTTTTTCTCTTTCAAAGACACATCTTACATCCTGCAGTTTCCAGAGAGAGGACTGAAAAGTTAAATTTTCGATTCTAAGGCATTCCAAATTTGATTAAAAAGACAGACCTGTTGATTGCCCTAAGCAGTTTAATTAAATGGTATTTTCACTGTCAAAGTGTTTATCCATCAAATAGTTTTGATGAGATCCTGTGATCATCTATTAAAAGAACTCTACTTCCAAAATTCCTGATGTAGGAATTTACTAATTCACCTCTGACTAGATATAGAACCTTTTCTGGAAGTATACAATTCAATGCAGTCATTTATCACATTTAAACATACTATCACTGCCATGAAAACTGTGTCTTTTGCAGACATTTGATTGAAAATTGTATATTTCAAATACATATATTGAAAAATTGCTTTTTCAAAATATCAAACTTAACTACTAAGCAATGAGATCTTGTATTCAATCATTTGGGCTTTTCTGATGAAGCACTGTCTTATATTCTTCTTCTAGAAAGATAAGAAATGCATTGATCACATTACATAGAAGCCAGTTTAAGCAGTATTGGTAAGCAGCAATCTTACATAAATATTCTTGTTTAGCAGTATCTGCTGTGTGGTCATAAGTGGATTGCCTTATATTTGCAAAATATTTTTTCTTGGCAATAGAGACAGCCATTTTCCTCTCCATGCAGACACTATCAAGCATAATTTTCAGTGACTATTACATAGCATTTGAATAACAGTGTTCTTCTTGACTAGTATTTCCAGTCCAGGAAGAAATCACTTTGAAAAGTTTGCAATAGTATTTTATGGTATATTTCGATCTCCAGAGGTGTCCAACTGCAACAGATCAACTTCCAGTCTAGCAATCATTAGCTGTCCTTGACATTTATCTAACTGGTATCAATGAAATATATTTAATAATGTGCAGAAACGTAAACTCTTTAATGTACTGAAATCCAGAGTTTATGTACATATATCTGCATGAATCTATACAATATTCTTTGTATTCTTATTTTCATAGTATATATCATAATAGAGATGCAGGTGCATTTTTTCACCTTTAATAGTTTCAAATTGCATGTACACTTACATTCATTGAGATTTTCGCCTTCTTAGATAGTGCAGTGATCAGCAGATGTTGGCTGATTGTAATGCCGTTGGATTCAGGTTTGAATCCCTAGTAATCATGCACATTTGTGAGTTGGTGTCTTTGCCTTGAGAGGTATAGATGCACTTTGAGCCAAAAGTCCTCTTGAGAGGTTGTGGTTAGGGAAGAGAAGGATAAGACCTTTGAATTGCATTCTGGCAATTGCTCTCAATCAATATTAAAATCAAGCTTAAGCTTAGGCTGATTGCCATCCCAATTTTAATTGAGGACTTTGCTTAAATTAAGTAACTCAATACAGTTTTGGAATTTTCAGCTGGTAGTTGTATATTAATTTTGTACTGTAGGTTCCAAGAATCAAGCATAATTTTTTATCAATCTTTTTTTACCTGAAGTATTGCATGTATACTGACTGATATCTTCATCTGTTTTACTAAAAACATTGAGCTGCTTTAGATAAAATAAAATGAATAATTATTTTGTATAAATAAATGATTGTATATTTGGGAAGTATTTGGATAAAGTATGCTTTATCCAAAGGAATTATAGGCTCTATTTAAAGCAATTAAGAATAAAATTTGCACTTTTCAGTTGAAGTACCATTTCTCAAGTTATCTGTAAACTTTGTATACTAGTACAGAAAAATTTATTTTAATAGTATGCATGAATTCTTAAAACTTGTAAATTGCCATGTGTTATCAGCGGTTAAATTATAAGATACTTAATGTTATGAGAGTTATATTAAATATTTGCAAAGTAAATTTTATTTTATTTATATGTAATTGTAATAAAAATAACTAGTTCCTTTAAAAATTATTTAAAGGAAAACCATTTGCATATCCAAGTAATGCCAAATAAAAGTTAATTTTTGGCAATTATCAATCATCTAATGTTTACTTTGGTCTTTTTTAGTAGATGTATTTTTTACTATGTATACATTAACACGTTCTTTAAAGTTTACTCAGTTACTTTCTTTCATGAGCCAGAAGTCTTACCTAGGATTCAAAGTTTATGAAAATAGCATATAAATTATTGTGTAAATAAATTTAATACAGGTTATAGTACTGTTATACTTTTCAAGTAGCTCTTAGATATTCTGTCATCTAGGAAATTAATGCACACACTAGGGAATAACTTTTACATCTGTGATTACAATGAGGCTTATAATGTAAATCAGTTTTACATGATTTAAAATACTGTTTTGAAAGTAATAACAAAGAATGCAAATCAACTGAGAAATTTGGCAACTGAATGCAAAAGCAGTTAAAATTCCATGCATTTTTGAGCAACAAAACGATTTAGAACTCTTTGTTAAGCATTGCAGTTCTAAATACTATTAAAAAGCAAGGAGAGAATAAATAGTAAAAAAAAATAAAAATAAAAATGCTAAACTGGTGAACTATATATAAGGTGAAAAATAATCTAATTTGAAAGATTAAATAAATCTTCATGAAAGATTAAATAAATGATCATTAAAGGCTTATGTGTCAGCAAAAGAGAAAATTACTAAATTATATGAAATGTTACTGATGTATATATTTGTGCCTCCATATAAGCAAATTTAATATGTGCTGTTCATCACCCCCCTTATTTGCATTAAAGAAATAAAATATTCATAAGGTGCAAAAAATCAGCTAAACAGGCATGAATTGTATCTTATTGATAATTAACATAATGCACCATAGTAAATGTTACCTTAATGTAAGTCTAAATAAAACTTTAATATAACCATTATCATATTTGCACAACTGTGAGCACAAATATACATATATGAAATACTGATATTGCTTTGCTATTGCAGCTCTTTGAATGAAGGTATGATTTTCATGGCTGTACACACCATGAAACTATGTGTGATATTGTGCAATTTAAGTTCTCATATTTTGTCATTATTCTATCATGTGAAAATTAAGTCATTAGAACTCCTCATTCTCATACATCTGAGATAGAGGGAAAAGTGCACGATTAAATGTGCATATATTGCAACCAACTTTATTATTGCTTTATTTGACTTGTTAATATGTCAGTATGTATTATTTATCAATTAAATTTTACTTCATTCTTGTGCACAGCCCAAAGTCATGCTATAGTAAAATTAAAATTTACAAGTAGTGTTTGCTGCATTGCTTTAAAATGGTATAAAAGAATCAGATTGTTGTCAGTGTTGTCTGTTAGACTCTTGAATGTTTTGTGAAATATGCATTGAGTATTAACAAAGTTTGAATGGGAAATGATATTTGGAACTTGCACATATCGCAAAACATTTCAGAAGTTTTTGAATTGTTTAAAGTTCTTTGCTCTACAGTGTCAAGGGATATTAACAGTACCTCATAGAAGACATTATCTCCATAAGGGTCTGTACAGTAGCCAGCTATATCTACTAAATGATTGAGATCAGTGATGTCTAAGCAGAAATGCCTTTTCTATTAGTTAAATAACACTGCATGATGCACTATAGAAGTGTCAGTGACAATTCTTCAAGAAAAATTTTAATTATTAGCATATGAGAATAGAAAACTAAACAAAGTGCCTTTCTTCTCAATACGGATTCAAATGTGGCTTCAGCATCTTCCCTGGGATTAAGAACAAATGCACTGTTGGGAAAAAATAAAAAGAATAACTATAAAAACTTATGTAACTTGAACAATTTTGAAGCTAAAAAAAAAAGAAACTGCACAAAATTCCTGGCATGTCCTCAAAATACAGAATTGCCTATTTTTGTAAGAAATAAATAAATAAGAACATAGAAAATATGATATAAAGTGAAATAAGAAAAAATTGATGTTAAAACGTTTTGGAAATATATGAAAAAAATTATGAACTGCGCAATCAAGCCTGACTCAAATGCAAGCCTTATAGCAATTTTCCATGCTGTGTTCAAAAGTTCCAGGAGTAACAAAGGTTATTCAGACCTATAATGCCTTGAATCTCCTAGAGAGTGCTAGGTGGAGTCTGTACTGACGCCATTTGGCATCCTGGTGCATTCCATGGTTTTTTATGCATACAGTCCTCTTTTATTCAGCCTATCACTCACAGTATATCTGGACTGTATACAGAGGCTGTTTGCACATTTTTAGATGATTTTACCTTTTCCGATACTACAAAAGGATTTTTTTGTCTTGGAAATTATGGTATATGAAAATAGTGAAGTATAAGAGTTATCAAATAGAACATTTAAACATAAAAATTGTAGGTAAAATATTTCTGTAATTACAATGGAAATCATCAAAAAATGTGTGATTATCCTCTGTATAGCTGCAGTGAACTATGTTACAATCTGTTTCTGAGTCTATTTCTTTTAGCAGCTATTACCAAATTTACCAACTATATCTTTTAGCAACTACGTATTATCTATTTGAAAATCATTCAAGTCATATTTTAAACTTTGACTCAGTTGATAGTGT